CTCAGCCTCAGAGAAAAGCCAGATTCCACCTCATATAATGTGAACCAAGAGCACAAATGCTCCTCCCTGCCCAGGGGATACTGCTGGGTCAGAACTCCCTCTCTGAGCCAGAGTCAGACAGAGCTAGACACTTTCCCGGCATACTACCCTGCTTCTCTGGCTGACCTTTCAGGTTGAAACCTCTGGACACAAGCCTATGAAGGATAGTGATAAGGCAAATTCAGCTGCTTTGGGGCTCATAAAAAATGCAGTGTTTCATTACAAGTAGACCCCACAAATCCCTGAGGGTCACATCCAAGCCATTCCTTGTCTATGAGGTTAACGCACCGACCCACCATTGGCAGGCCGTGCACTGTGAATGGCTTTTCCAGTCAAGGTTCCCCTATTCTCCCTCCATTGGCCCCATGGAGAAATATGCATGTGAGAGTAGCTGGCCAGGGTCAGGGCTGAGATTCTTGGGCGTGGAAAGCCAGCCTGTGCAAAGCCAGATATCCCCGGGAGCACCCTGGGATTACAGCCTCAGTTTACTCTTCCCTTTATAACGTGCCTGGGAATTCACCAGGGGAGCACAGTCTGCCCTCACACAACCCAGCAGATGAGGGACGGACCCCACTTCGAGCGCCACCCATAAGGACCCACAATGCACTGCCCACTGCTCCTCAGCCTTGCATACTCCATGATCCACAAGTCTAAGCTATTAGCAGAGTCGAGGCTTCCAGGACACCCCTGCACAAGGTTCTTCTGCTCAAGTATCTCTCCCTACTTACTCAGAAAATTCTTCTGACTTTATTCACATAACTGACATTCAAAATGATATAAAATATAAATTTTATATTTCAAATTTTTCTTCTCTTTCTCTGATCTCTGACAAGCTTACCCTATAAAATGTAATGGGGTGCAACAGAAGTCATTGATAGAAAGAGACACTGCCACAGGAAATCAGCCATCATTGTTTAGAATTGCACATGAAACTAATTTTTTTTGGTACAGGACTTGAACTCAGGACCTTGAGCTTGTTAGGCAGGTGCTGTGCTGCTGAGCTATATTCTCAGCTCTCATGAAACTATTTTTACATTGTTTGTTAAAATAGGAAATCAGTTTCCTTGTCTACAAAGCTTTTCTCGATCTTGACAATTTGTATCTTCCATTTTTAAAATGTCTTCCTCTCTGCATAGCTAAATACTGTAAAGTTTTGAGCTCATTTATTTCAGCCTTTCTCCTCTGCTTGATTCAACAAATCTTTTATTGCGTCCCTAACTATGTGCTGAGCAACACATAGTTAATTCACCCTATTATCCAGAGATTTATCATTTTACATATGAAGGAACAGGGGCTCCATTAAGTTCAGTGACTCTCCTCCTTTCACAGCCTGGCAAGTGGCCTCTGCCGGTTCCAAGTGCACATGCTGTCCATGGGGGCACCAGGGAAAATATTTCTCCAGTATGGTTTGCATCTGGAGTCTGTTTCAACATAAATTACACAGGTTGGGGAGGGAGTTTTGCTACTGATAATCTCTGGCTTACAGTCAAAGATTATGGGCAACTCAGAGAAAGAGAAAGATAAATGCAGCAAAAGCACAGTTCAAACCCTCTGTTCAGAGGGGGTCTTCTCCCTGGATTCAAATAACCAGAAATTGATTCCTCATTGTAGATTTACTTGAAACTGAGGTCTTGATCGTTCATGTCGTTCAATGCTCTAACCAGCATTCTGCTAGCGCAAAAGGTCAGAGCACAAGATGGGAGGAAGCGCACAGGCCTTGTCCTCCTTCGCAACACAAGCTAACGCGCATGCACACCTCTTAGCCTTAGCCAGCCCAGCAAGCGCTGGTTGTACTAGATACGAAGGAGGCTGGTAGGGCGCACAGCAGAAGCAAAGCAGGACACTGTACAGCTGACTTGATTACCAAGCACAATCTGGAGCCGTGATAACATAATAACAAGTACTAACAATGATTATGGTTAGGTATTGCTTTAGAATTTCAAGGCACAGCTATTTACAAAAGGTAAGCAGTTTGTGAAAACCTACCAAAACGTGCTGCTATCTCTATAACCAGAGGCAAGGAAACCCTCATAATTGTTCCTTCCTAGAAGTCAAGCGTATCCTTTTTGCTTGTTTGTCTGATTGCTTCTTGTGTTACTCTACACATCCTATCTTTTGGGAAAAGAAGAGGTACACCTATTCTTTTCTGTAGAAACCTCCAAGCCAGAAATTGTACCTTTGCAGTCTTTTAACCACTAAAATGCTACAGCAAACATTACACTGATATTCTGAGTACACCATCAAAACTGTACCTTTACCAGGGTGATTTTCACTACCTTTTTCACTTAGAATATCATGTTGCAGATACCAAAAATCCTACCAGGATAGTAAATGATTTACAGAAATAAAAGCAGGTTTTAGTTCCAACTTGCAACACATGAGACCCCAATCCCAAATGGGTAAAAAAAAGAACATTCCAGAGAGGTTTGCAAATTAGTTACTGCCCTCAGCTGAACCACACAGCTGGTTTATTGATGGAAAGGAAGAACAACAAAAGGATGTCTAAAGTGTTAAAAGGTCAGCGCAGTAAAGGATGAATAAGAAATAAATTTGACCCTTACAGTGCAATGATGGTGAACTCAGTTTACCATGCCAAAGGCCCCGCATAGGCTTATGCTCCTTTGATCAACAGAGGAAACACTTTACACTGCAGAACAGCTGGTGATGGCATCATTGCAGGGGGTCCCCTGTGACCTCGGTACAGCTACATTTCCTCATTTGGGATTGTAAAAACTACAATAATAAGTATTAGTAATGTGTACGTAAACTTTGTTCCCGTTTCTTTTTAAATGCAAAGCCACGGGTCTTCACTATAAGGCCACTATGAGGTCAGGTGAGGCTGCAGGACAGGATGCCTATGCTAGGACCTCTAAATCCTGTGAGTCAGGAACAGGGGCGCCTCTGCCTTTGCAAGTCAGGAGGTTTCCAGGCCTCACCAAGTACAGGTTTTTTCAGCTAAAAATGGATTGACTGGTGTTTGCTTCCAGTCCATTGGGCCACTAATTAGGATTCAGGAAATAGTATTTTTTCCCTTCTTCCCCACTGGGATAGAAGGATTCCATAAAAGGCAGGACCCACAAGAGAATGGGCTTGGATCAGAGTCATGGTAGGGATCACGGCTTTGCCACCGTCTAGCTGGATGATCCTGTGGGGTTCTGTTTTCCTCACTTGCTGTGTGTGAAGTAATACTCACCAAACAAGGTTGCTTTTACAAATAAGAAAGAAGAGAAAAACTTATCCTTCCAAACATGACTGGCATGCTCAGTCTCCTGAACCTAGGGAAAGGCTCTAGAAAGATCAATGGGATTACTGTGCGTGTAGTATATCAGCCTTTCCATTTACATCACCTAGATGCAGGCAGCACTCACTGTCAACCTCTGGTTTAAAAAAGGCCTGAACGGTGCCTTTTCTGCCACACAAAAAAGAAGACAGTAGACCCCAGGAGGGCATGAGAAAGCAACTCTTGTACAGATGATTGGGGCTCAGGCAACAAAATCTGGCCGGATTCACTTGTTTCCTTGGGGGTAGCAGGAACAACTGTTCGCCTTGCTCTGGCCTCGGTCCCCCACGCGACTGAGTTCTCTGGACTCTGTCCTCTTCCTGGGAGGGCAAAGAGCGAGACCTTGCACTCCTGCTCCTCTGAACTCTCCCGCGGCCGCCAGCTGTTTCCAGACGCAAAGACAGAAGCTCGGGCTTCTCTCGAGCGGTGCCGCTCCCCGACCCTAGTCGCCCAACGGTGGGGGTGGGGTACGGGTCCCGCCCGCCTTTCTGGACAGGAGCACCCGGGCATAACAAGCCATCGGTGCTCTCTTGCTCCCCAGTACCAAACGATACCTTCCTCTCCCCTCGCCCTGGCAGAGCACGTAGGGTGCGTACGCCGGGAGCAGTCCCAAAAGCGCGTCCGCTGGAAGGGCGCCCAGCCCCATTACTCTCGCTTCCCGCGCCGGCCGAGTCGCGTCTAAGCGTGGCCAGGGCCCCCTCCTCCGGCCAGCCCCAGAGACGCCAGAGGGAGGGGCATTTCAGGGAGCCCCCTCTCCGCCCCCATTTCTCGCAGGGTCGTGCGGGAAGAGAACAAGGAAAACAAGACCATTTAGCGCGTAATGCCCCCCAAGTCTGCTGCACTGCCAGCAGCACACCTCGATTTATTGGTATTCTCCCCCAAGCCCGACAACTCCACTGAAAGTCCATAACCAGCACCCGCCAAAAACCTCGCGCCGCTGGAGGCCACCAAACTCTCGCTCCACCGCGCCTTCCAGCCTGGCAAGGTTTCGCCTTTTTCACTGAGCAGGGATAACGGGTTTCAGAAGTTTCCCATTGCCGCGTCCAATTCCCAGTCCCGGACCCCTCGCGGATCGCCCGCAAGGCGAGTAAGCGCGAGGTCTTCCCTAAATCTGCGCTTCCAAAGGGTCGCGCCACCACCTCCATCTGGGTCCTCGCGCTGCCGCGTCCCCAGAGCCCAGAGGTTCTCCGGTCGCAGAAGAGGAAACTTCTTTCTGAGGTGAATAAAGATCGCAACGGAAAAGGCTTTTCCGACCTTGCAAACGCCAGGGGCGTGCTCGCCCTCTAAACCCCAGGAGAGCTCAACACCCCCTCCCACACACGGCCACCAGCTGAGACCTATCCTTAAATTACTGTGCTCCCAGACTTTAGCAGGTCAAAAGGTCCGGCCGAAGTCTGAAACACCACGGGGTACTCTCCGTCTTTCCAGAGACCCTTCCCGTCCCACGTAGCTTCAAGAAAAAAAAAAAGAAAAAGTAAACAAAACGTGAATCCTGGCAACTTTGGTATACGTGTGTTTCTGTGTGTGTGCCTGTGAGCACGAGCCCTGGAGCATCGCCTAAGAGTTAGGACAACAGCTGCAGGAGCACATCTGGAGGAGGGGGAGGGGGTTCGCAACGGAGGGCACCAGCAGCCCCCCAGCAGCCCCCCGGCAGAGCGCCGGGCCAGCCTGTCGCCGTTACCTGTCCTATGTTGATGAAGCCGTACTTGCTGGCTATGCGGTCGGCCTCCGCGAAGCCGCCGGCGATCTTGACCGCCCAGTGGTTGGTGTAGACACGCGTCCGGCACACGGGGAGCAGGCAGCCCCCGAGCAGCGCCAGCACGCACAGCAGGTCCAGCCGTCCCGGGCAGCAGCAGCGGCTCCCCCAGCCCATGCTCCCGGCGCCTCGCGGGCCGCGTCGCTGGCTGGCTGGCTCCGCGCACTCCGCGGCGCGCACAACTAACTTCTCCGGCCTGGGTCGCAGCCCCGGGCAGTCGGCAGCAGGCGGCGAGCCCCAGCAGGCGGCAGCGCGGCGGACCTCGGGCCGGTCCTAGACCATGACCGGGGCCGGGGACCTGCGCTCCCGGCTCTCCGACCCGCGGGGCGGTCAGCTAGCGCTCC